CATATATATATAGTTGTCTAAAATATGTTCACGCAAATCCAGAGATGTTCTCAAAAAATGTACTCAATCATTCTTATGATACCAGAAATAAAGATTTACTGCAAGTTCCTCTTCATCGATTGAAGAAAACACAGCAAGGATGCGATTATTGGGGCGCAAAATTATATAATAAAATTCCAGACTTTGCAAAAAAGAAACACTCGAATGAATTCTCCATCTGGCTGAAAAATGTCCTAATAGAAAAATGTTTCTATTCAATAGAAGATTTTATAAATGAATAATACATGTACTACATCTCTTGTAGGTTTACATGTGCATGATAATTTTGTATATATTTATTTTATTTTGATCTGTGCATCTCTGTGTATATGTATTTTAATTTTAATACTAAGGAAATAACGACGTTGTAATGTTTCATTTACAATGAATAAATTGATTGATTGATTGATTGATATTAATTCTGTTGAAATCTCTAATATAAACAGATTTGGCCACTCTGTATGTCATTATCACTGCACCATTGCAGATTGCAGAATTTAAAACTATAGATAACTTGAATGAAAGTGGTTATATATAAAGTCAGTATGTACAAATGTTATTTTGATTATATTTGCCAATTCAGTTTTCCCGAGTTCTTTCCAAAGTCATGTCAAAACTCATGAACTTCCACGTTCATTTTGAGGAAAAATAATGCCCCAATAGAACTATCATGTATATACGAATATAATCTGGTTCATCTCAATGCATTGTTTTTCAATACTTGATCACACTTTTAGTATTAGTAATGACTGTTTTTTTTTAGGGAAACTTGTCTCATATTTACCCAAACATATAAAAATGCATAAAGATGAGCAGCTACAAGGTTTCACGTGCTCTCTGTGTTCCAAGACATTTATAAGCAAGTCTAATCTTAATAGACATGTAAAACTGTATCATATGACCACCAGAATTGTTTGTGAAAAGTGTGGCAAAATATTCTCCGAATATTATTTAGAAAATCATTATAAGTAAGTACTGATTATCTTCAACACCAATTTATATTTTTCAAATCTTTTAATAGTCTTAGAATGTATTTTTTTCTTCTGTGGGAGTATCAACCTACAGAATTCTCTTAGCCCTGCGAGGGCCAAAATCGGGATGGGTCATGAAAATTTGAGCTTTTCTTGAATTTATGCACAATTTAACTGACTCTTAACGTTTATGAGGTCCTCATACAGAGATTCTAATTCGAATGGTCCTGTAAATGTTTACTACTTATTAACCACTAACATTTTTTTTCAGATCAGAACATCCAAATGAAAAAGTATTCAAATGCGCAAAATGCGAATCTAGTTTCACAATGATAGCTTATCTCAAGCAGCATGCTAAATCTCATGCCATTGAGGTGAAGAAAGAACATGACATGAATAAAAAAAATGAAAAGCCAAAACGGAACAGAGAATTTCGGTCGAAAGAGAGAAGAGTATATCGTCATACAGACCTTTTCAAGAAAGTTAAATCGAAAATGAAAGGACTTGATGGTTAGTATGTTAAAAAAAGCAAAGTTTGTTAAATACTGGACGACACCAGGGTTCTATAATTCGAGAGTCTAACCATATTCTGAAACATTCAAATATTTGTTGTTGCATTCATCTATTGTGAAATGAGTGTATAGAACATTTAAACAAAGACAATTCTACTCCAAGTATATAGAATATTTCTGTAGGAGGGTAGTCCCTTATGACCAGTTAAGACACAAATGTTGAAAAACTTTTTTTGTGAGAGCAGCAAGCGAGAAACGTATACTCTTATCACACCATATTTTTAATATTTCAATTGTTATTACTGTATAATCGTCAGGGAGAGTTAGAAAATGTTCATGAGATTATTATATATGATTAATAGTCTAAAAATGTTTTAGTGTCAGTGAGAATGATCTCAATACAGAGTGTTTTCTAACTACGGTACGGATTTTGAACCACATCAACTTCTTACACCCCGACCTGAAGTTCACAATGGAACTTGAAAATAATAACCCACTCCTTCCTGGACGTTCTCATCACAAAGTCCAATAATTCCTTCTCACACACAGTCTACCGAAAACCTACCCATACTATCCGCTATCTCAATGCCAAGTCCCATCATCATCCTGCCCAGCTGAATTCCGTTCTGAATTCCCTCTTACATCGTTCTATAAGATTCACTGACAACCACAATAGACCCAGGGAACTATACGAACTCATAGCCGCCCTTCACCAATTCGACTATTGCGTCTCCCAAATACAAAGATCCATCCAACGACAGCAAACACAAACCTCACCCCACGAGTCACTGACAAAGTGAGCCGAATTCTGAGGAAACATAACGTAAAGACAGTATTCACAACCAACAACCAAATCTCCACTATGTTAAGAACACCCAAGGACACGATACCCAATGAAGCCATGAAATACCATGCTCAAACTGCCCCAGAACTTACATCGGTCAGACCAATAGAAGAATTTCCAACAGAGCCTATGAACATGAGCTAGCTGTTCGCAAATCAGATCCAGCATCATCTCTCTTCAAACACCACCAGGAAAAAGGTCACACAATAAGCTTCGAAAACACCACGACCATTGCTACCGAAAAAAATCTTCAGGCCACGATAATTCGGGAAGCAATCGAAATTGAAAAACGCCCCAACTGCCTTAACAACCCTCGGGAACTCTGACGTTCACTGATATGACAACACTATCACTGGCAGCTGGTCTCCAAAGCGGGTATTCATGATATTCACTGAACCTAATAATTTCAATCTAATTTTTAGGGTTAAATAAGCGTTTCATTACTTCAAATAATCTTAGCGAATTTCAACCAAATCTGTCTAAGGATATTTATGATATTTTATAAATACTGTTTTTTTTTTAACTTCAACGCGTTGTATCTCAGAAAAGAAGCAACTTCGGACTGAAGAATCCCTTTTTTCATAAAATGCAGTTATTACTTGATACAATCTATACCAGGGTCTTTTTTAAATATTTCACATTCAGGAATATACGACATTTCTCAGGAAAGCCCAACTAATACGTTAATCTATTAACGACATGGCAATAATGATTGATTTTTCAATTCAATTTCAAATGAATCCATTTCAGTAAAATTATTATTCTTAATACTCAGACAAGGACATCTTCATGAGAAAATAGTACATGACATAAAAATTTAAAGTTATAGAAAAAATCTCAACCCCTGCACAACCAAAACTAAAATTGTGGATAATTTTTTTATAGCACCAATAACATGCAAACATTGTTTGAAGACACTGAAAGACTTATATCAATATAGGAATCATCTTGAAACACATGTGGCTTTGTATCGCTTCAAATGCAGATTTTGTGAAATGACCTATTCTTCAGCTAGAAATAAAGATAGACATGAAAAATTACACGAGGACCCAAACTATAAGTTCAGGTATGTTTTTGCTATTTTGAAACCTATTCTAATTCACCTCGCAAGTCCTTTCAGTTTTATTCATGATTACAAATCAGAACGTCTGCAAATTTTCAAATTGTTTTAGATGTGGTGAATGTTGGAAAGTGATGAAGAGTCAAGAGGAATTAGATGATCATATGGAACATCATGCTTCGAAACCAAAGAGGTATCAATGTGGTGATTGCTTTGAGTTATTTAGTCGGGAATATCAGCTTAGGTCTCATATAGTAAATAAGCATACTGTAGAAGGCGAAGTCGAGGAAGCCAAGGAAGATGTAATCATAGATGCCTTGATGGATTTTGCTGTGTGAATCAATCATTCATCTGTTGTAAAATTTATTCGTCTACATTCAATAAATTAATTTTCTGTAAGTCCTGTTTTCATTTTCATACCGTTTGGTATAATAACACTTAGAGTGGGAGAATGGAGAAAATAACTAGTACTTATAAAAAATAATACAATACAGTTATTTATTGTTACTTATTATTACTTATACACTCACAAGCAAGTAGAAACATTTTGTAATATAAAAATATCTATGCCTAAATCAGAGCTACCTGTAATTCAACAACAAATTTTATAAACAGGATTCAGGTTTAAAAATGGGCTCACCCCTTAGTCCACTTTTAGCAGACATATTTATGAACATCTTGGACACTATAGTAAATTCCGACCTGGGTAAAAAACATATTCATTTTTGGTACAGATATGTAGACGATATTCTCGCCTGTTTCAGAGGTACTATACGACAGCTCCAATTTATGACATTCATTGATAATCTCAATAGTAACATTCAGTTCACACTCGAAACAGATATAGAGAAACAGATAAATTTCTTAGACCTGACCATTACACACAATCAGAATAAATTTGAGTTCAATGTTGTCAGAAAACCTAGCTATACAGACATTACCATCCCCAGCGATTCTTTCCAGACAGTCATAAATTAGCAGCCTACAATTCAATGTTGTACAGAGCATTCTCACTGCCTTTGTCTGCTAATAATCTAGCTAGGGAAATTTATATAATTACACAGATAGGTCATAATAATTGTTTCAATGCAGATACTATCCAGAAGTTAGTCAAAAAACAAAGCCGTAAATTCACTTACATATTAATATTCCCTCAGGTCAAACGACCAGAAATTAAGAAATGGGTAACTCTAACATATTTTGGAAAAAGAAGAGCGATAATTGCGGGTTTCTTCAGAAAAAACAATGTGGAAGTGGCATTCAGACCACATGCCAGGTTATCTGATTTCCTTTTCAATGCCAAAGATAAGGTGGATAAGTTGGAGAAATCTGGAGTTTACAAGCTTAAGTGTCCGGAGTGTAATAGTGTTTATGTGGGACAATGTGATCGAAATTTCCAAAAACGGCATACTGAACATGAAAGGTCCTTCAGACTAGGAAAAAATTATTCGACGTTTTGAAACCATTCCTTGGTATGCAACCACAAGTTCCCGAATCTAAACAATATGGAAATTTTGCACTATGTAAGGAAGGGTTACAAACTCAATAATTTTGAATCCTTGGAAAATCACAAGCATAAACATTGCGGGTGCAACCTGTTAAATGATCAAATCGATTTAGTTTACTCACCGGTTTTCAAATTAGCACAGCCGCATTGTAAATTCAGGTACTCATTCAAGCCAAGTACCTCTATTATTACCTGAAGGGGTGCTGTATAAGGGCATAATAAACCATTGTTAGTTTAATGTATCAGTTTGAAAATGTCCTTATAGGACGAAACTGCAGTAACGTACTTACAAATAAAAGTGGTAAAAAAAAAATAGAAAGTTTCAATCCCCTTTTCTTCACCATGTATAGATATTTTAAATTTAAATTATTCAAAGAATATATCTACATTTATATTAGTTTTACAAATAAATAGAAATCAATCAATTTAGAATCAATAGCTAGAACACGTACATAACACACAGTAACAATGAGAACTTCAAAAGCTTTCCATACTTCAGTTTTTACATATTTTTGACAGATATCAGTTACAAAAAGTTATTGAAATCATCCAATTTCTTGAAAAATGTTTTCATTGTATTGCCCTTCACATTACATAGAAATTATTCACATTTCTTTTGGGGTAAATGAAATATTATTATATATTTTATGAATATCACTGGAGTTTTTCCAACACCAAACCGTTATTTTAACACCCCGACACGTGTTTCGATCACCATGTGATCATCTTCAAGAGAAAGATCAAAACTAATCATACACACTTATTTCAAGGACGTAGCCAGAAAATAATTTCGGGGGGGAGTTTGAATTAGTGGAACAGTAGAAAAACATGAAATATAAAAATAAACAAAAGAAAGAAAATGGTGTTACGTGATCATATATATTTATTAGAAAACCATTAAAGAAATATTAACATTTTATACAAAATCAAATTTAGTTTTCTAGCTTTCTTTGCAGCGAACAAATCAATTACCTCCTCGGTGTCGATGTCAATTCTACGGTGAATTGACATTAACGCCAAACCATTTAGTCGTTCCTGGCTTGTGGAGTTTCTTAAATAAGTTTTGAGTCGTTTCATGGAAGAGAAAGTCCTCTCGGGGGTTCATGTGGAAACAGGCAATGTCGTCAAGATCTTCAAAAGTTTGTGAATGTTTGGAAATAAGGACTGGTTGCATTCTCCGAGAGCTTCTATAGCACATGTTGGTCGATCTAGTTCATATTCTTCCAGTCATTTTATCCGCCACATGTCTGATTCAGCATTCACAAAGTTCCATTCTAAATATTTTTTATAGAACTCAAAGGAATATTCTTGATATTCATTATTGATTTGTTCTTTGCAACACACAGAAGGAATCAAAAAGTTGAGAGATGATGATAATTAATGTGGCTTTATGATTTTGGAATCTCCACTGAAGCTGATCAATGAAATCATCCAAAAGTGGAATCATTATAGTAATTCTAAAATAACTTTCAGGATCTTTTGTGTTGTAGTTTGCCCTAAGCTCTTGGCGTGACGTTATTCGCGGAATTTTAATCTCTTCGTTTACAGTACAGAGCAAATTCTGTGCATTCTGGAAAAGTTTAGCAAATTTTGAAACAATATTTTGGCAAATATCTTCAATAGTCTTCATGATTAAATCGACACGTTGTAAAGCTGCTGCCAAATCGCAAATGGGAGATTAAATTATTTTGCACAGTGTTAGTGTGTATTGGAACAACATTCCTAAGCAACATAAGCTTATAACAAAATCACTTCAAATGACTGATATCAGAAAAGAATTAGCCTTTGACGAAGTTTCACAATCCATGTCAGTGCTTAAGTCGTCTAGTCTATCAACAATAGCTTTATAGATTTCCTTGAACCCTAACAACCCATCATGATTTTCAATCCAACGGGACTCGCACATTGCCGTAAGGTTTTTCCAGTGTGTTTTGGGGAAGTTTTTTTCAATATTCTCTTTCAAGCACTTGTTTCGTTTTGCCGAGGAATCGATGAAATTTCCAACGGATTTCATAATTCCAATAATATTCCGAATAGGCTGAACTTGGCAAGAATGAGCCAGAGCTAAATTCAATGAATGTGAGCTGCAATGGACGTATAAGGCTTCTGGATGTGACTCACGAATTACTGCCTGCACACCTTTAAAACTTCCTTTCATCGGAGAAGCTCCATCATATCATTGTCCGATTAAGTATTCGCAATCTACTCCCAAAGATTTCAATTCAGATAAAATTGCATTAGCTAAATACTTTCATTTTGTATTCTCAACTGTTACAAAAGTTCTAAAATCTTCACGCAAGATAAACACATTATCTTTTGGCTCGGCATATCCCACACAAATGGACATTTGTTCTTGTTGTGAAACATCAGTAGTTTCGTCAACAAGGATTGAAAAAAATTTGGCAGTATTCAATTCTTGCACAATTTTTTTGGAGTATTTCACCATAAATTGCAATAAGTTCATTTTGTATGGTTGGGCTTAGGTAGGAAGCGTCATATTTTCCATGTGCTTAATTAGATTTGAGTCTCCACATCTGCTTCTTATCCGTATGATAGCACGAAAGTTTCCATCATTTGGCTCAGGATCATTGATTTTTATAGGACCTGACTCGCACGTACCTCTCAAAGCCAATTCCTAACGTCCACATAATTTAATTGTTTTAATAATCGGAATGAGCCGTTTCCGGTTTTCGGGTATTTGCGCCAAGTATCCGCTATCAATCTGACATTATATTTGGTTGAGATTTATTATACACCTTCATAAAATTATCAGCCAATAATACAGAAGATTTGTGATACTGGCTTTTACTGTGATGCTTGAAATCATGTATATCATATTTCCATTTAGTGAGTGGCTTAGTAACTAAGGATTTCAATTTCTGTTGAGAGCCTTTTCCTGCGCAATCTCTGGCAAATAATACACATTATATGCATAAAGCACCTTGTTGCCCTGTACTCGTGTTAACCAATCACGAGAAGCGTTCAATCCATTGAATTTGAAGTTTACGCTTTCTTTTATCGTCACTTACTGGAAACATGAATATCTTTTCTGGCATCCAAGGATATTTCAACAATCTGTACTTCAAATCATCATCATTTTTTATGTTTGATCCCATATAGTATCCCACATCTAAAAAATGCCGAGAAACACAGAAACGTTTTTACAACTAACTTATGAAACATATTTTCCTGTAAAAATAAATTGTTTTGTAGCAGTTTCATAGCATTTTCTTCGAGGTTTTTATGATCTTTATAAAACTATTTCAAGCTTATTTTATAACTGCTTCCTGCAGCATTAATGAAATTATTCTATTGAAAAGCTTTTAAACACAATTTTGTTTTCAATTAAGATTTAATTTTTTATTGACGTACTGCCGAAACTCTTCCTTCACAGGAAAATATGTGTATATTTTCCAAAATATTGAATACACAGTTTTGGATAATTTACCACTTGCACAGCACCAGAAGTTTTTCATCAAGTATGAAATATCAGATTTTTCAATACCCATTCAAAATGGAAGCATTTTCATATTTTTTCTTAATTTTTTTGAAATATCTATCAATGCAGTTTCCTCAAAATCACATTGTGTGTCAATTCAATAAAAATATTTACTCGAAGGAGAATTCTCATTATTCCAAAGTAGCAGAAGACCAATTTTGGAAAAATAGGAACTAGTATATTATTGGTTTTGAACACAAATAAACATTTTCAGTACCACGAAGTAATAAATCTGTGTTTGAGATGGCTAATTGAATCAATCACGTTTTTGTATAACCATTTTGGGAGGTCACTCGAAACAGCGGTCACCAAAAAAAGAAGTCTATTTCAAGGATTATTGGCAAATAATTATGATATCATTTTCCAACAGTCAAATTTACTTATGTAATATTTATTTGAATTCAAACCAAAAGTTCCAGTCATGCTTTTGTTTAAAAGGAAGCGTTCCCCGAAACAAATGTACTAATTGATTGATTAGTTCAATGCCCTCTAGATAATTGAATCAATCTTTAACGTTTTTTTTTTTCATTGAGATGATACATAATGATATGGAAGAAATTGATTTCTGTTTCTGAAAATACGTTTTAAACGTATGTTGAATTGTACGTGAAACCTAGAAGAGACACCATATCTTTTGGAGTGAAAAATCAAAAAATTGTTTTGAAATCGGAATTTGGTAAAGTTTTGCGTTTGAAATACATTGAAATTTGGAATTGAATACAATAATTCAACAAAATGCTGAGTTTAAACTCTGTCTTACCAAATTCCGAGACTGAAGTGACCAACGACTGTCAAGAGCGTCTCCTGTTGTCACTACACGTGACGATCCGATAAAAAAAAGTGTCGTTTTGGTTGCGCAAAAGCAAACAGAACAGACCTCGAAACGTGACAATTCCTCACCGTTTGTGATGGGTGATGGGTTACAAAGAAAAGTATATAGAAATAAAAACCCCACTTAAACAACGTTGATACATTAACTATAGATTATGCACAAAAGCAATAACTGTTTTTTCTGAATGGAATACAGTAGCTTCAGGTTATGTTTAGGGGCAGAGCTCCAAGAGTATTCATTCTGAAACTCAGCTAGTGAGTAAAATCACTTTTCTAATTAAATATTCTCCAGATTTTTTTGAACTTAACTGTGTTTTATATCACAGAGAAGTTTATTAAATAGTTTGAGGCCTAGGTGTGAAGGAGCATTGGTTGTCACTTTGTATTTACAAAAGGGCTTATAGATTACCTAGTTTTTTATGAGTGTATATCTCTGATTTTCATGAAAGTAATCTTGTTATTGAATATGTATAAACATAATTCCAAGATAAGTAGACATGTCAGAGTGGGAACACCTAATTTTTGAAAATTGGTCTGCGTGATACATTTCTTTTCTTTTCAGCAATTATTCTAATCACCATCTTCTGTGCCTAGAATACATCATTGAACATTGTTGAGTTGCTCCACAAACATATACCACATCTCTTTGTAGAAGTTGCTAAGCTGTGATACAACATTAATATTTGAGGACTTTTGAGAACTGGTTTTTTAGTTCTAAACATATATCCAAGAGAATTTTGAATTTTGCTTATGATGCTTGACTTGTATCTCAATTCGGGAGCAAATTTTTTTCCGATGATGGGAACGAATTATTTGTGTTTTTTCATTATTGAAGAACAGATCATTGGACCCACACCAACCTGATATGGCTTCCACAACATTGGCACGTTTCGAAGTGAGAATATAATCGTTCTTTCCAGAAATTATTAAGATGTGTCATCGGCGTAAGCGACAAATATGCTTCAAACTTACTTTATCGATTTCATTGATATATAACATAAATAAAACTAGACCCAACGCCGACCCCTGTGCTACGCCAGTGAGACAGTTCAATGGATATTATTCATTTTATCGTTCTCTTCAAATCGAATGTTCACATATTGTTGCATATTTTTTATGAATGTCGAAATCTATAAGCTTTGTCTCGAATTACATGGTTGTAAATCTTTTGTAGTAGTTTTTCATGATCGACACAATTGAATGCCCTGCTGAGATCACAAAAAATCCCAACAGGGCACACCCCTGCCTCAATCATTTCGATTAATTTTTCATAATATGATATGACAGCCGTATCTGTGGATCTTTTCGCACGAAATCCATGTTGACTATATGTTAAAAATTGTTTCTCTATTGAAAATTCCATAAGGCGGTTTAAAAAAATGATTTTGAATATCTTCGAGAAACTGGAGGGAACCGTCACAGAATTATAATTTTCCAATATTTTTCTATAGAATTTTTTATGAAGTGGTACAACCTTGCCTGTCTTGAGTGAGTTTGGAAACATTCCAGTCTCGAAAGTACCATTCAGGAGGTTTGTTATGGGTTCAATGATAACATCGATAGCCTTTTTCAATAAAAATGCAGAAATTTCATCAAAGCCTGATGATTTTTTATTTTTTTATTTTTGTTTCAATAACAAATGCATCTCTGATTTCAGAAATTGTTTCAGAAAAATGGTCTCTATATGGTATTTTGATTGTGTAAGTATTTGTTTCTGTGTGACATCTATTTTTTTTTTTCGTTTCAGATGCAGCGTTCACAAAAAAATGATTGAATACATCTTCAATGCCCCTATCATTTCTTGATAAAATAATGCTTTTATGTTGTTTATTGATTTTTATTGATTTTTTTTATTGAACAGTCTTAGGAGTTCCTTTTCGTATCACATATGAGATTGTTTCCTTAAATTTACTTAATACTTTAGAATGGAAGTCTGAGTTGATGATGTTTATTCAACATTTATAGGTCCTATCTATTTATCAGTGTGAGCCTTGCGTCGCAGTATCTTCCACCAGTTTAGCATAATCTGGTTTGTAGTTGGAAATTGCCAACCTTAAAGAATCCAATGTATGAGCGTCTGTCAAGCGAAAACGGTGTTTATTTTTTGTTTGTTTCAAGTTGTTTATTGGATTTAGGGTGACATCATGCTAATTCTCGGATTCTTTTTAGCAGACCCTTTCATTCGACACACATGTCATGGGAGTGCATAAAAAAAACTAGTGTACCATCTTGGGTCGTAAACCATATTGGATTTGGAGTGACGCCATTATATTTTTCGTATTCTTCAGTCTTCATATCAATTCTTTTCATTCGATACATCCTCAGCAGCTTCTCTGATAGTGATTCGACGATTCTCCATAACAATTTTCTTCATTTTCTCAACATTTTCATCGAATAATTTGAAATCAAAAAAACTTAATTCAATAAAAATTAAAGATAATTGGATAAAAAACTTATCAAATTCAGAAATATCACATGATGTTTTCTCTCTATTAGCATTGGGATCAAAATTCAGTATAGAGCCTAGCACAAATGATATTTCTATACCAAAATTATTATCTGATGTAGAAGCATTGATATATGATACAACCAATAAAAATAATGATCTATTCAAAGCTCATATCACAAATTTAATAACCAACCATTTTGAAAATAACAAAAATAATCTTCATTTTTTAGACAGAATATTCAATAAAACCAAACAATTTTTCAAAAATCATCCTCAACTGACGTAACCAAATCTGAAATTTAACTGTAATTATGGAAAAAGAAAAATACCTAGAGATGTCCAATGAGTTATTAGAAGATGGTAATACATATAAAATTTTACAAAGAGATCCAACTTCAAAAATTCAACAAAAATCTAATAAACTCATCTGTAACTTGAAATCATTGAAAATGTTGAATGAAGAAGAGGCAAAGTCATTTAAAATGTACAATTCACAATGCCCAAAATATTATGGTCTACCTAAAATTCACAAGTCAACTATTTCTCTTAGACCCATAATATCATCTCTCAATGCACCCAGTAGTAAAATAACTGAAATGATTATAGATATTCTAACCGATGCCTATAATTTTAATAATGAGTCAAAGACTCATTTGAATTTTCTACTTTCATCAACGAAAAACAATTACAACCAGATTTTCAGCTAATAAGCCTTGTCGTAGTGTCTCTTTTCACTAATATACCTCTAGAGCTCATAATAGCCAGTATTAAAAAAATATGGCCTAGGATAGAAAGCAAATGCAATATATCGCAACTAAAATTTATTTTTGGGAAAGACAGTTTTTGGCTTTCTACTACTCCATCTTGATACAGAAAAGAAGGATGAGGGAGTCTTCCAAAGAAAGGAAGGAAGTAACTCTATACATGGATGTGTAGATCATGCAAAGAAGTAACTTTCAGACACAAACTGAAAGAAAGTCCTCCTGAAACAGCTACTTTCATATAAACATTGAATTATACGAAAGAAGATACTTTTCTCTACTCAGTTTGTATTTCAAACATTCGTTGTGGAATAAAAATCAGATATCATTCACATGAGTTCTACTTTAAATGAATGGTAACAAATTGCACTTACGTAGAACACTGCCATCCTCACTGTTATACACCGATGTTTCACCTTAAGACTCTTGCCCTAAGGCTCTTCAGTACCAAATTGGATAACATTATAGAAAATACACACACTTCATTCATGAATTACTATTTTTTAATGTCACGGAATAAGCTTGATCTGCTTATGTCATCGATTTATTTATTGAAACTATATCTTTTATATTCGATTCTTGCTATTTTTCATTCAATGGTAAATTTTACAAACAAATTCTGAATGGATGGATGAACTTTTGATGGATTGTGTATCTAAACTAGATTTTCAAGTAGCTTCTATAAAAAAAATTGTTAACGATATCATTTGTGCTATTCCTCATAATAAATCAAATTATATTTTACTGATATTTAAGAATTACAGCGATAAATTACAATTCACTCTAGAAGAAGAAAACAATAACAATATACCTTTTCTTCACGTGAGAGTTATTAAAACAGAAACTAACATATTAATAACTGATTGGTTTATAAAACCCACCACTTCTGGGAGATATTTAAATTATTATTCTTTTCATAATCAAAAAACAAAAATCAATTCAGTATTAAGATTAAAAAATAGGATTGAAAAATTAGTACATCCTACTTTAAAAGAAAAAAATTTCAAAATTTAAACATGGGTGTTAAAATTTGTCATATTAATGCACGCTCGCTTATGTCAGATTTTGGTAGCTTTAAAGACATAGTTTATAATAAATATGATATCATCACAGTTTCAGAATCATGGCTTAATAGCAACATAACAGATGACATAATTTCATTGCCGGGATATTCAATTTACCGGAGTGATAGAAATAAACTCAACAAAAGAGGTGGTGGGTTATTAGTTTATATCAGTTCGTCAATGAATTCCCATGCAATAAAAAACCTAGAGATAGTGAACACCGAGCAATTATGGTTAAGTTTTTCTTATGAGGACAAAACAATTGGTTTGGGTACAGTTTACCGACCTCCGGACACCGATGAGCATTTATTTTTAATGGAATTTGATCAGATACTCGGTGATTTAGCTCCCAAATACGATTATTTAATTTGCGCTGGAGATTTCAACCTTGATTTTTTGGATGTAAGTAGGAATGGTGTAAAACAACTTTGTTGCATTTCAGAGTCATTTGAATTGAAACAAATCGTAAATCAACCTACAAGAAATACTCAAACAACGAGTAAAATACTTGATTTGATAATTTGTAATGAAAATTTGGATATTTCAAAACATAAGGTGAAGGATTGCTCGTTAATCTCAGATCATTGCTTAGTATCTTGTGAAATTAAAAATATAAAAACTAAAGTTATACCTTTCATGTATAATTTTAGAGATTTTCGGAACTTGGACGAGGTACAATTTCGAAACGATCTCTTGTCTACTGACTTCTCTCCAATTCTATTGGCACCAAACGTGGATCAAAAAGTAAATATTTTGAATAATTGCATTATAAATTTGTTTAATATTCATGCACCCATAAAATCTGTGAAAATTTCAAAAAAGAAAGCACCTTGGCTCACTTATAACTTAAAGGAAATGATGAAACTGCGTGATAGGGCACAAGTAAAGTTCAAAAGTTTGAGGGAGTGGAACTATTATAAATTGTTGAGAAATGAGGTTAACCACGCTCTGAGAGCCGAAAAAAAGAGTTATCTAGAGTATAAGATAAAAAACAATAATAACATGTGGAAAGAATTAAATAACATAAGCGTCTATGGCGAAAAATCAAATGTTATACCAAATCACTTATGCAACCCAGATGAAATAAATAATTTCTTTGTAAATCAAGAAACTAAACACTTTCCTGATGAACAAATTATGCAATTCTTAAAAACCAGTATTTTACCAAATGTTGAACAGTTCAACTTTTCCAACGTTGATTAATCACATATTTAAAACATTTGCTGTCAATTAAGTCCAATGCTGTGGGTGTTGACCACATTAGCATCAAAATGTTGCTTTACTGTTGTCCTGATATTCTGCCATATTTTCAATTACATTATTGAAAATAGCGTTCATCCATCGGTATGGAAACGTGCTGTCGTCAGGCCTTTCGCTAAAATCGTCCATCCTCAAGGTTTTAATGATTTGAAACCAATTAATATTCTGTGTGTTTTATCGAAGTGCTTGTAAAAAATCCTAAATGAACAATTACGTGTACATCTAACTGATTTTAACATTATCCCGGAACATCAGTCAGGGTTCCGGCAAGGACATAGCTGCACAACCGCGATGCTAAGAGTGACAGATGATATTTATCATTCAATTGGTAACAATCAACTTTGTGTTTTAGTCTTATTGGATTACTCTAAGGCGTTTGATAGAGTGAATCATCAATTATTATTATCTTTGCTTCATTATATTGGACTCGCTTATAACTCCGTAAGTCTTATAGCAAATTACTTTTCATACCGGTCTCAAGTTGTAAGGATAGATAATGAGACATAACTACCAACTCCTGTAAATACAGGGGTCCCACAAGGGTCTATCCTGGGACCTCTACTTTTCACGGTCTATACATCACAATTTCATACGTATCTAGCATATTGTAAAAGTCATTTTTACGCTGACGACACTCAATTATACAAGGAATTTTCTGAGAACGATGCGCAATATGCATGTGGAAAGATAAATGAGGACCTCCAAAGAATACAAGAAATTTCCCAAAAATATTGTCTTGGCATTAACCCTCTAAAATCTAAGGCCATGCTATTTGGGAAAAAAACGGTGCGAACTAGGATTTCAGGTCAAATTTCGCTGCAAATTGATGGAAACCCACTACTGTTCAGCGATTCGGAGAAAAGTCTTGGGGTAACTTTAGACACGGATATGAGATTTAATATTCATATTTGTATAATAAGGTAAAATTCAGACTTGACCAGCACAATATCAATGTACGTAATAAAAATAACATTACAATTCCGAAACATAAAACCTTGTTGTTCAAATCATCATTTTCGTATAATATAGCTATCCTTTATAATGCTATCCCCAATGAAATAAAACATATGTCAATCTATTCTTTTCGGAAAAAACTGAAACTGATTCTACTAGATGGTTTAGACCTCCAATTTCTTGAATAATTATTACTGTGCTGATATCATCCATCTAACTTTGAACAATATAATTATCATTACTTGTCTGTGTCGATATATATTTGCAAGTGCCACAAAAAATTTAAATATTTCCAATAGGATAGTTAGAAAACTTCATTTATTTTTCATATTTTCATTTTCTTTTTTTTCCATTAGTTAATTATCCAGGGATTAATTTTCGTATAGTTTTTACCTAACGTAGAAATCTGATTAGATGTCATCATTATAACCGTCTGTTGGAAGTAATTTGCAGGTTGAGTGGAAGAGGGCTGCTTCCCAACTCCTGTTGAGAAAGCACGAACTCTGCCTTTTGTCAGAAATGTTAATGTTATATATATGTATGTATATATATCTACTTTTCTTTCACTTTATCATGTGTATAGGTATCTATATGTATATGTTGTGATTTTCTGGCAATAAAATCGATTATTATTATTATTATTATCATTGGGAATTTTCCATCATGTATTTCTTTTTTCAATTCGTTAAGTCAAACACGAATTTTCTCTGACATTTTGTTATAAATCAAACATAACTATATATTTCCATGATTATCAACTATTTGTTTTTCAAAATTGTTAAACAAAGTTATATCAATTTTGACAGCTATCAAGTCAATTTAAATTCAATCTTTTGACAAAAATTGTTTACAAACTTTCTACAATTATTTTATACAGTGTTCATATAAATTGTTTTTAAATTTACTGTAAGTATCAATATTAACCTTTTTCTGTTAAAATTAAACCAAATTGTTTTTAGATAGTCCTGAAGAAGCTTTAAAATAAAGCGAAAGCTTGGCAAATATTGTAAATAAAAACAGTTTTTTCGAAAGTTTTTTCACATTATTTGACTGCTGAACAATTAGCTCTGCTTTCTCTTCGTGAAGTTGCAGATCTGCTTCTTGATGCTACTGGAAGCATAAGACGTCTTGATAACAGTGGTAAAAAGTGTATTATTATGCAGGGTTATTCAAATACGGTATCAGACAGGCTCTGCCCTGTAGTGGAAATGGTTTCATGTGAACATGATGGTGGCAGCATAGGTGCATGGCTATTTTTATTATTTTTATTAATGACCTTTTTTCATAGTACATTTATTTACTCCGTCGAAAATAAATACCTAAGTAATCCATTGTGTTTTTACGGATTGTTACCCATGTTACGAGGCTATAACATCTACGTAACATTTTTGAATATGAAGTAGGTCAAGTTGAAATGAACATTTAGGTGAGGGTGTACTAACGCGTGATACGCGAAAGTGAAAGTGCTTTCTCTTTCTTGAGAAATTGCCAGCCACATCGTGTGACCTAACCAGTCATGTGGAGTGTATCTTTTTACTTTCTTGGACAATAAATGTCTTCAGAGATTTGGGAGTGAGGTAAAAGTCATGACGTGACTATATTTCATTTAATTGATTGAAATAAATCCTAAACAGCGAACAATTGATTTTTCAGAGTGGAAGAGGCCTGTCTCTCTTAATGAACTGTACACTACATTCAATAGTGGAGAGATGAGAGCTGCAATATTTTGTGACTTCTCAAAAGCCTTTGCGCAAACCATTCTGTTACGAAAACTGAAACTTTATGGTTTCAGAAAATATAATTTTACCTGAAACAGTAAACTCAGATTGTAAGAATACATAAGTTCTCAGACGATATTTCCGTCAAATGTGGGGTTCCTCAAGGCTCAGTGCTTGGATCAATTTTGTTCTTACTGTATTTTTGTGATTTGGAAATTGGTTCTTTCACAATCTTTGCAGATGATGTTAACTTATCAACATTCTTTGGTATTATAAAGATGTTGGGAGTTTACACTCAAATACGCTAGCAGAGATCAAAGAGTGGTCTGTTTCTAAGTAATTTTCCTTCAATTGAAAAAAAATAACCGTATAATTTCAAATACTCTGGGTAGTCGCTCATTAAAAAATACTATATATAATAAGTATACATGGATAACAAACTGAATTTCCAGCAACATGTTGGACAATTGGGATCAAATATTGCTTCGGATTGTTATGCACTATGTACATTTGCAAACGAATTAGGTGCAGCGACAGTTATACAATTAAAGGGTTTTCCCTATCATATTGAAAATTCCAGAGTAATCAGCAGTTTTATATTATTTGTGAGAATCTGCAAAGGAACGATTATTATTACAATTTCAGTAAACATTTTATTGAAGACTCGTTCAACTCCCACCCAATAAATGTTTATTTCCTGATGATAATGTTTATGCATTTCTTACATTTGTTTCGCAAATTTTTTTCACAGTACATATTCACACTCTGCAGTTGATGAAAATACTTTGCATCCATGCTTATCAAATTCAAATTGTTTTTGTAATAATATAAACTTTGAAAACATCAGCGAACAGGAAATCTTGATTGCAGCACGTAAACTAAAAAATAAGTTCACTTCAGGTCTTGATAAGATACCATCCTTTACTGACACTTTTCAATCTTGCAGTTAAAAAAAATAATTTTCCTGAATTATGGAAGATATCACGAGTTTGTCCCATTTTTAAGTCTGGAGATCCATCTGATATTCTGAATGATCGTCCTATCTCAATCCTATCGAACTTTGCTAAACTTTTTGAAATTGTCATCTATTATCGCGTACATTCTTCAGTTCGTATATCATATCTCCGCAACAATATGGATTTATGTCAAACAGATCCACCATAACAAATTTGATTGTATTGAACCAAAATGTTAGTGATGTCTTGAATAATCGTGGTCTAGCTGATGTGATATATACTGATTTTGCTAAAACCTATGATCGACTTGATCACACGATCCTTCTACAAAAACTCCACCAATTTAGTTTCCATATTTCAGCAGCACTTTTCATTAAATCCTACTTACTTCAACGCGAACAGTTTGTATCTTGTGACGGCTACGATTTTTATTTATTACAATCCTTCATCTGGAGTACCTTGGGGGTCTGTTCTTATTATTTATTAATGACCTCAGTAATTATGTCGATTGTAA